GAGCCACAGACACACACCCACCAAGCACCCACCGCCCTCCGCCCCCGCGGGCCGCAGCAGCCAGAGCCGAGCGGCAACTCTCCGGCCCGCGCGTCTGGCTTTCCCGGCTCCTTCCGCACGGCGAGCTCAGCCGCGCTCGATTTTTCCTTTTCTATCCCAGCCCTCTCTTGTCTGGGCGAACGCGGCGGCAGGGGGATGGGGACCCGCGTGGGGAAGGGGGTGAAGATCGATGAAGATTATTGTTCTTTTTAAGGATGCCTTAGCTTCCTCCCGCCGCCTCGCCTCCGAGTCTTCTTACTAGAGACCTTGAACCCGAGTCAGGGATGTAAAGAGAGGGGGGAAAAAACGCCGGGAGCTCCAGCCAGCCGGGGAGACCCTCCTCTCCGTGGAGGGGAGGGGGATTTCCAGCGACAGATCATTGGCGAAGGGAATCGTCGCAGGGAGAGGAGCCCCGGAGGGAGCGGGGAATCCCACAGCTCTTTGTGGTGCCCGAACCCATGTCGCCTGCTGAGAGGGTCTGTGGGAGCTAGGTAAGTGGCAGGGGCATTGCTGCTCCCCTAAGGGGTCTTCCTTTGAGCATGAAGCATCGCAGGCATAGCCAGACTTGAGTTGCTTAAGGGACTGGAAACTGCCATATGGCGCTGAGTGGACTTAAACACAAAGCTGACTTAGCCTTGAGAGGGTTATTAATGTAAGGCTCCTTCCCTGTGGGGAAGGCACTCAAGTGTTAGCCCCTGAAAAGCTTCCTAGCAGCCTGCCTGGGAAGGGTTGGGAAATGTTATTTCTAGAAGTGCTCTTATTGCTTTCTGTTCATTTGTTGGTAAATGCTACACTCACATGCACACACTTGTGGGACTGGATTTAGGGAATGTGATGTCTCTGATCCATAAACAGCCCTCAGAACACAGAGACATGCTTGCATTTTATTCTTCAAAGGGTCCGCGGTCTCTGTTCTGTAGAGCAAGGTTCCTGAGAGGGACAAGGAGTCTCTAAGGAAAGCGCTTCATGGCTGTTTCCAACACACTCTTGCTAGGGGACTTGGGAATAGTTTCCTTGAATGGCACCAAAGACCAGACCATTGCCTCATCATTTGCTTCCAACGCTTCATGACCATTTTCAAAATAATCTGCTGCCATCCATTTATGACCATTATTTTTGTATTTTCATTCATAAAATTCCTCAGTGTGCAATAGGTGTGCAAAATGCCATTTTATACTTCACTTATCACAGCACAAGTGTTAATAGAATTAGAAGACTACACTGAAAAAATTTAGAATGCAACAGATCTACACTGGGCTAATATGCAGATTAAACATCCTTCGAATCAAGTTATGTGTTCATGTGAAGCTTTTCACATTTCTATTTTGTTTTGAATGGTTTTTGGATTTATTGGAAATTTATTTTTTTTAAATCCAGTTCAGAAGCAAAGTATTTTATTGATACTGGTTTTAAATGTGTAGTATTGTGTGAAACAGAAAGGTCTTCTGGTTTACTTTCCAATAAATATCAATTAAGATGTTCTATAGGGTAAGAGAAAGGTAAATTCCAGTCAAAGATTTAAAGTTTTGCCAGTACTGAATAATTACTCAATATTTTGAAAAATAGGCCAAAAAATTAAAAATTATATATATATATATATACCTGTGTATCCAAATATGTCTATACAGTTTTGCTCTCTTTTACTCTTCAGAAGTGTTTGTGTGTCATGAAGTATAAAATTCTCAAAACTTACTTGTGGTACATGAACAGGATTATAGGCATTTTGATTAGAGTTCTTGATTTTTAACCAAAACTTTGACAGTTCACTAACTTGGGACTTACGTATATGTATATACATTTAGTGGTTGCTAGTGTTGGTAATTTTTAATAGAGGGCATGAATAACTTGTGACTACACAGACGTTTTGAGAATATTGAGGGATTCAATATGTAACTTCCCTCCCTCATTTTACTCCACCTCAAAAGTTAATATGCTTCCACAGAGTAAATACAATAACCCCTTGCCTCTTGCTGTCATATTCAAACCAATTGTTTATCAAGAATAGAATTCCATCTAATGTACTGTTTTTCCTTTTCTGGCACAAGTCAGACTGTTGGAGAAAGGAGTGAATCATTTGGCAGTTGGCTTTGCTCTCTCCCTCCTTTTAACCTTCACCTTTCCCTTTCCATGTCAGTGTTCCCAAGTCTCCCTCACGCACAAACAAACATGGAAATGCCAGAAAAGAATTCCCCTGCCTGCCACTCTGAGAATTCTAGTCTCTCCTTTCCTCCAGTCTTTCTAAATACAATCAACCTATGCATCAGTTGAAACAATTTCCATTTTCACCTTTCTCTAAATCCCACAGTTGAACTTTCAGTCATTTGGGTTAAATGAGTATTCAGACGGGATTAGTGAAAACGATTACCTTATCCAATCCTTTCTATTTGGCTTTTCAAGTTTCCTTCTTGACTGATGCCCCATTGTTAACATGAACCTACTCTTCTGATTTCCAGCATGGTAACAAAAGTCAGGCTAGAAAAGTGAAATGGCAAAATATGCTTTTAGTCACAGTTTTTGGCAACTCAAAATCATATCTGTCTAAATTTATGCATACCAGCTTTTATGTCAATGGAAAATCTTCATTAAGTATTGAACAAATATTTTTTCTTGAATTTATATCTGCCATTTTCAAATGATAACCTAGAGAAACTGTCATACTTAATATGCAATATATGAAAGTGAAACAAATTACTGGTAAATCTAGAAACCCTACAAGATATATTTCATTTAGATCTAATGTCTTATTTTTTCTTGATGCATTATAAGGAAATAATCCCTTGAAATTTGCTATTCCTTAGAGACTAATTCCTAAAGAGCATAAAAGTTCATAGGACAACTCATGTACACTTTAAGGTAAATTATAAGGTTAAGACATCCTGTTTACTTAAGAGTATTATTTGAGATTTACTTTTATTTGTCAGTCTGCATAAAGTTATGCCTTTTATTTTCCTAAGAGCTTCAGAGGAGTGGAGAGTACACATATAGGTGATAATTTTTAAGCTCATTGTTTATATGGTAAAAGTTTATGGTCTTGTTTTTCCTGATGTCATAAAATAAACTTTATAGAGCAGCACAGTCTTAAATTTTTTAGTCATATACTACAAGAATATTCATTCTTTAGATCTATAGCCCTTTTTTTTTGTTGTTGTGTATTTCCTACTTGTGCTTTTTAAATATATATTCCCACGACTCCTTACTGCAAGCCCAGGTTGTCAGATAGAAGGTCAAGTGTATGAGACCAGGGCACTTTGGCCTGTGGAAGTTAACTCCCACTGCATTATCATTAAGATGAAAATGCCTGATCCTGGAGTTTAGTTGTATCTAGCTATACTGTCCGATTTAATATCGTGTATCCATATGCTAGTCCATTAATTAATTTGCTACTTATATATATATATATATATAAGGAGAAAAGTGCTTGATTAGAAAATACAAATGCAAAAAGAGAAAGAATGCACAGTCTGTACTATTTAATGTTTTTTTTTGTTACAAAAGTATTGTGGGTAAAACTTGAATAAATAATTGCAGAATCACATGTATAGTTCAAAATTAGTCATTTTTTGCATACAGAAGTACATTCACAATTTTGTATTTAAGAAATTAACTTAAGAAAGTTGTCACAGTCTGTACATTGGGTAATTATTGAAACTAAATTAAATGCTTTTATAAGTAGTATATACATTATTTTATTTATATAAACAAAATTTAATATTATTGTTACCACTACTGCAAATACTAGAGCCAGGCATTGTATTAGTCTTTTACATATAAGACATACTTTAATTCTCATAATCACCTTAAGAAATGACTGTCACCAGTATTCTTTCCTATGTAGATAGGAAATTTGAAGTACAGAGACTTTTCTTGTTTATAGTCATATATGAAGTAAGTAACAGTCCAGCTTGAATCCAGTCATTTGGGTTCCACATAAGCACTATGAAATTAAGAAGTAATAAGAAAAATAATCCAAAGCAGAATCAGAAAAAAATGTTTATAGCTCCTAGACTTATTTGGTCCAATTAAAAGATACACAGAAATGTGATTACAGGTATGTTTGGAAAAGGCCAAAAGTAGGGATTTTTTAAGTAGACAAAAACTTCAGAGTTTTCAACTTGAATTTGAAATAAGAATGCAGTTTAGAAGCTGAGTTTTAAAAAGTGGGTGGCCTTTTATCAGAAAGCTAATGGATTAGGAAGTACTGCCCTTACTGACCACAGAAACACTGATTGAGACTGATGATCTGCCTGGTCTTTTTCCAATGATAGCTCATATTATATTCAGTTTCAGTTAAAAAAAATATTGTGAATAATTTTTTAGTTATTTAGTATATTTTTAGTTATTATTTTTGGAATAAAATATTCATACATTAAAATTATTAGTTTACAATGTGATTTTTTTTCTATCCATGCCCCCATTTTTTCTCCCTGTATAAAGTACCCACAGCATATTAATGGGATTTGAAACATAGGCACTTAGAGGTTTACTTTCTAATATATTGTCTATATTTCTTTTATTAAGTGACAATAAAATCATGAAAGCATAAATTAAGTCATAAATTATTGAGATTTTCATCAAGAAAATTTACATAATATTTGAAGTAAAGTTATTGCTAAATAGCTACTGCTTATGTTTATGTGAATAATACCATCTGGATTAACTTTGGAAAATGACCAAATTCTGCCTGCAGGGTGCCATACAATCAAATATTTAAATACATTCTTATGATTGATCGACTTTTTTATTTTTCCTCACAAACATTAGATTGCAAAAGCTTAGTCATGTTGTATTGAAAAGTTAGCCTACAATTGACTTATAGCATAAAAGTTGATTTTAAAAGTTTGTTTTTTGGAACTTGTAATATATTTATGGAAATAGTACTTTAAATGATATGTAAGTCTCCAGACCTACCCACAATACCCTTTTAGTCAATAATATACCTCAAGCTCAGTACTGTTGTTACAAAAAAATACAACCATTATGTGTAGCAATATTCCTGGGGAATAATTTGACTTAAATAATATTTATTGACTGCCTCCTCTGTGCAGGGCTCTTTTAGAATAAAAAGGTGAGCACAGTACTGCCTGGACCCACAAAGAGGAGAGAAAATTGAGAGTTTATACATAACTGACTCTGACGCTAAGCAGAGTGAAGAAAGCTCTGTAATATTGGTATAGGCAAAATGTTGAATAATTGATTCAGAGTTCTATTGTGAGAGCCAGGGACTGCATACCTCCTCAGGACTCTCATTTGTTATTTCATCCTCTAGGTATCCACTGAGCTCCTTCCCTGTGCCAAGTCCTAAGCTAGGTGTTGGGGATATAAATATGAATAAGACATCATGCACTCACAGCCTACACATGTAGACAAATAAATCATAACAAAATGTCATAAATGCTATTGGCAGAACAGGATGGTAATTCAGCTGAGTAGTTGCCTACCAGAAGCACCCTAAGAGTAAAAAACGTATGGTTGTTTTGAGATCCTCCATGTA